CTCAGCCAGCTCTTCCAGGCTCCAATAAGCCCCCTCGGTCCCGGTGGTCAGGTAGTCCCAGCCCGCCTCTCGCCACAGGTGGCCACAGCAAAAATTCGCAAAATGGTTCAGCGCCGCCCGACTACTTGAGTGGTGTTCCAAACAGTACAATAAAGTGCTTCAGTGATTCTCTCCGTGAACTCAATGTTCTCTCAGCATTCTCAGCAATCTCCCAGTGCTCTCAGTGATCTCTCCACAATCAATCAATCAGCTCCCAGGAACTCCAGGCACCCTCCGCGTCCTCCAAACCTGGTTACTCTCTCAGAGACCCCACAGCTGATTGGTGGCTCAGCGGCTCTGATGTCAGGCCCGGCGTCTCCTGGCGTCTCCCGGCAAGCAAGCAAACTGCCCAGCCCCTGGGGGCCACCCCACTCCAGGCAGCCACGGCGCCCTCAGCCCCCGGGGCACGATGGTCTCCAGCAGCCGGTAAAGCAGCTCCAGCAAGGAATCTCATGGACGCCTGGCCACAGCATCTCCCAAGCCGCCCTAGCGTCGGCAGCTTCCCCGAGCAGTACCGTAAGTGTCAGCAGCCTCCGCCTCACCCCCAGCGTTTTCGATGTCTTCCGCGTCTTCCGCGTCTTCCATGCCTAGCAGCTCTGGGGAGGCAAGTCTCTCCAATACGCTGCTGGCACGGGTATTCTGGGGGGTTCCTGTGTCTTCTGGCAGCGAAACCAGGTTCCTGGCCCGGAGTTCCACCTTCTGCAGGCTATTTCTCAAGCGGACCGAGCCGGAGCGAAAAGCTCGGCAGCCATCTTCCCTCACATGTGCCAGAGGAACCCACCTCTGCCTCATATTTCAAATCCAGCATTTTATCTACTCCCCTGGCTAATTCCATGTACTGCCATTGTTGTCGTGGTTTTACAATGCCTTGGAATATATTGGAATTGGGGTGAAATTGTCAAGTTCTGCCTGCCGAGAAGCAGGAAGTGATGTGGGAGGAAGAACATTTTCTCACGCTCTTCCAATGCATTGGTGTCTTCTCACTCAGTCTATTTCTAGATGTTCATCTAGTGCCCTTTTGTAGCACCTAGCCCTCAAAATAGCCCATGTGAGAAGGAAGTTGGGTGAAGGAGAAGTGCTGGGTGAAGTGGGAAAGAGCTCTCTCAAAACATCAAGAAGAAGCTTCGCCTTTCCTGTTTCTGTTTGCACTGACTCTCCTGTCATCCAGGATATTATTAGACACAAGGTTAGCATTAATATCAGCTCAGCAGCATGGACCACCTTCATGTCAGTAACCTGTCACTTAGGCAACTTGAAAGGTGACTAAAACATCCATCTGCAATCACCTACATCCATCATGCATTAAGGAAAATGCCTGGTGGTGGGTTTTCCCACTGGCTGTTGAGATTGTGGCAGGGGCAACACAACCAAGGAAAGCCATCAAACACACTCCTTACCATGTCCCATATCAAAATCGAGGCAGAATAATTTTTAGCCATCAGGAGAGCAACAATTCATACTTCTGTACTTGTTTGCCACTTCAACAGAATGCATGGGGATGTGACCATAAGAAAAATCCAAAGAGCTGGTCCATTTTTCTAGAAATTGATTATGGTTATATCAGCCTCTTCGGGCCATAGAAGGTAATTTAAAATGATTCTCCAACATTAACAGGGGTCAAAAAACATTTCCCTATTTGAAAATGAAAATACATTTTGAGGGATGGGACTGGGTTTTAAAGGAAAAATAGTTATTTCTTTTCTGGGACTTTTTAAAGAAAAGTGAATGAGGGTGATTATACTGATAAAAAGAAACAATTTTACTATTATGTTTCAGCAGAGCAATCTGGGTGACTTCTGATGTGGCACTGAATATACTCAGTAACAGACCTAGGCACACACTGCTCCTTCCTGCTTCCTACTAGCATTGACTAGCTAATCAGTACTAGTTCCCTAAGAGTTCACTCAGGAATCTTTCCAGGCCAATTTGGAGAAGCTGGAATTAAATGTAGAATCTATTACCCACTGAACTTCTACTCTTTCCCTCAATCTCTCATTGGTGCAGAAAAGAAATAGGAATCATTTTAACTATTGGAACAAGAAACAGCATCAAGAACATTGAAACTGAATTGCACAACCTTTCTATCATTCTGGAAATATTGTTGAAATAGGATACAGTAAATGAAATTCTTGCTATATGTATATTTATACATTATATAGCAAAAGCACTTAGTGCTTCACAGTGCTTCACAGCCCTCTCTAAGTGGCTTACAGAGTCAGCATATTGCCCCCCAACAATCAGGGTCCTCATTTTACTGACCTCAGAAACACAGAAGGCTAAGTCAACCTTGAGGTGGTGAGAATCAAACTGCTGGCAGTCAGCAGAATTAACCTGCAGTAATACTTTCTAACCACTGCGCCACTACAGCTCTTTATGTATTTAAATGTATTATACAATATATAAAATATACAAATACTTTAAAAATGCTTTTGTATTGATTACCATTATATGGTTTATTAGAAAAATGTATGCATTCCTTTTTTAATCTATATTTTAAAAAAGAAAACTAAAGGAAATTGCCAGTAGCCAAGCTTTTAAATAAATCAGTGGTGCAAAGACATGTGAGATTTTGTACTTGATTCCTGTATCAAAAAGTGAAAGTAGGGCTGGAAATAGGCAAAATATGATATCAAAATATTTAAATGTCCTTAAAGGAGGCTTATGATGAAAACTCACTAAGGATCTTCAGGTTGGGGGGCAGCAGACTGCTGAATACCAATTCCTAGCAAACACAAGATATTATTG